ATACACATTATGTCTTACATATATTATATATGTGTAATATATATATAATACATAATATATATATGTATATTAAATGCCATGGAGAATTTTAACTAATATATTGCAGATTCCAGAAATGTGCTATGATTATATTTCTTTTCTAAGTATCAGTATTATAAATTTGGCTGCCTAAAATATTTTTTTGCTAAAAGAAAATACATTTTCTTTTTAAAATTAATTTTTTTGATACAATCACTTCTCGGCCTTTTGGCTAAGATCAAGTGTAATTTTGTTTATACATTTAGGATATACAAAATGATAGCATTCATCATATGGAATTATTGCCTGTGTATATTATCTTGATTCTTTTTTTTTTCCATTTCACTCCCATCTCTTCAATTCCTTTCCCCTAGCTTATTTACAAAATCTTCATTTTCATTTTCTTCTATTTTTCTTTTCCCTTCCTCCCTTTCCCTCTACCCGCTTTCTAGTTCCCCTTCTTATTTGAACATTTTCTTCCTCTTTCACAATATCTATTATAAATTTGGTCCTTATTTACATTTTCAGTTTCTCACAAGAGAAATTATGTGATATTTGAACATTTGTCTTCAATTTATTCAATAAGAGTATGATCTCAAGGTGCATGCATTTACCCAGAAATGTCTCAAGTATGTCTTTCTTTATGGCAGAGTAGTATTCCATCTTATATTTTTAAGTATCTTTTAAAAAATATTTTTTATTGGTACATTTTAAGTATACAAAACAAGTTACATTCATCATTGGGATCTTGTACCTTTACATGACAGATCTTGGTTCCTATTTTTTCCCCATTCCACTGCACTCCCTTCACCCCCCTCCGATCTTCCCTATTTATAAAGACTTTGTTTCCATTTTTTCCCTTTTCTCTCATTTTTTTCTCTTCCCTTAACTTTCCCCTACACCTCCCAGTTCCCCTACACCTTTAGACCTTTTTTTCCTATTGCACAATATCAATTATACATTTTGATCCTTATTTACACTTTTAGTTTATCATACCAGAGAAACTATGGTATTTACATGTGTCCTATTAATTTCACTTAAGAGTATGTCCTCAATGTGCCTCCACTTAGCTATAAATATCTGTAGTTTCTTGTTCATTATGGCTGATTAGCATATCTCTCTCTCTCTCTCTCTCTCTCTCTCTCTCTCTCTCTATATATAAAAATATATATATCAATCTTCTTTAGCCAGTCTCCAGTTGATGGGCTATTGGGTTGTTTCCAAGTTTTAGCTGTTACAAACATGGGTGAGCCTATATCACTGTGGTATGATTCTTTTAATTCTTTTGTGAAGATGCCCAGCTGGGGAGTAGCTTGGTCATATGGGACTTCCAATCCTAGTTGTGTGAGGTATCTCCATATTGATTTCTAAAGTGCTTGCACTAGTCTGCAGTCCCACCAAAAATGGAGAAGGATTCCTTTTCCCCACATACCACCAGCTTTGTTATTGATTTGTTATTGATTGATTTCTTGATAGCAGCCATTCCTTTTGGGAGAGATGTTTTCATCTGCATCTCTCAAATGACAAATGACGTTGAACATTTTTTCATATGTTTATTTGCTAGTTTTGCTTAAGAAGTAAAACTTCTGAAAAGTGTTTTCATTTCAGATGTCCATTTTTGAATTGGATCTTTATATTTGGGTGGCCTGATTTTTTTTGAATTCTTTATATGTTCTAGATAGACATTTGTCTGAGGAACAGCTGGTAAATTTTCCCCCACATTGTAGGTTGTCTCTTAGTGCTGTTGGTGTTTTCTCTTGCAGCACAGAAGCATTTTAATAAGATGATATCCCAGTTACTGATTCTTTGTGCTAGTTCCCGTACTACTCATGATTTTTTAAAAGTCTTTTCCTATGCCAATTTCATCAAGACTTCTACCTAACTTATTTTCCAGCAAGTTTAGTGTTTCTGTTTTAATATTTAGATCTTGGATGCACTTGGATTTTAATGCATGTTGAAAGGTAGGTGCTTAATTTTAATCTTTGGTAAGTTGAAAGCCAGTTTTTCCAACACCATTTATTAAAGAGGCTACCTTTCCTCCAGTGGGGATGGTCAGCTCCTTTGTCAAAGATGAGGTAGCTGAGTATGTCTGGAGTTGTTTCTGCATCTTCCAATCTATTCCACTGATCCTTAGGTCTGTTTGTCAGTACCATGCTATTTTTATCACAGTGGCTTTGTAGGATAGCTTTGAGATGGGATTGTGATAGACCCTGCCTTGTCTCTGTTGCCTAGAATAGATTTTGTTATACTAGGTATCTCTGGTTCCAAATGTTTTTATGTATTATTTTCTCTAGTTCTGTGAAATATACTGTTGGGATTTTAATAGGGTTTACATTGAATCTGTATAGCAGTTTTGGAAGTATGGCCATTTTCACTATGTTGATATTTCCTATCCAAGAACATTTTCTTATATCCTTTTCAGTCTCTTTTTTTAGTGCTGTAGTTCTCAATGTAGAGATATTTTACTTCCTTTTCTAGATGGATTCCTAGACATTTCATTTTTTTGGATGCTATTGAGAAAGTGATTGTTTCCCTAATTTCTCTCTCAATGAGTCTGTTATTTGTGCACAAGAAGGAAATTGGTTTCTTAGTCTCTATTGAATCTTTCAATTAAGTCTAGAAGTCTTTTG